GGAGACGCCGAGCTGCCTGCTCAAGGTGAGTGTCCATCTCCCCGCTGCGATGGAGGCCGGGGGCTGCCACGCCGCCTGCCTCTGCCCACAGCTTTCCCCGTAAGAGGCAAAAAGCGCTTTTCTGCCCCCAGACAAGGAGGATGGCCGGCCCCGAGGGGTTCCCTTCCCGTCCCGGCTCCCACGTTCCGCTCCCTGAAGGTCAGGCAGTCACAGAAGGTGCTCCTGCAAAAGCACGGGTGCCTCCTGCCCGCTGCTTCCCGCTGCCCCCACCTACCTGCAGCCTCCTCCGCCGGCTCTGCTGTGCAGAGGCGCCCGGGCGAGCCCTTCCGTCCGATCCGATCCGAGCCGGGCCGGGGGAAGGAGAGGCCCTGGGCGCCGCAGCAGCGCTCCGGAGGCTGGAGGGAGCCGGGCACGGGGAAGCGGAGCCGGCCATGTGCCGGAAACAGGGCTGCTGGGAGGGAGGAGGGGAGCAGCATCCCGAGCTAAGCCCCTCCAGCCTTGGCAGGAGAGCTGCTGCACCTCCCCGAGAGGTTTTGAGCAGTTTTCCGGCTGCTTTTCCGCTCCCATCTGCATGGAGAGAGGGACTTGCTTGCCTTTTGCTCTGCCTGGGTGGATTTAATGGCTGTCTTTAGTTCTGTCAGTCCTGGGGCAGGAGGGAAGCGGGAACAGCCGGCAGCTTGCTTCAGGCTTCACCTTTTCCGAGGAAAGGGGGTTGTTTTGTTGGGCAGGGAGAATTTGATATCAATTAGGGGGTGCATCCTTTGATTTGACCCTGGGCTTGTGCTGGAGAGAGGGGCTCACAAAGGGAAATCTGCCCCCAAGAAAACAAACAAAAGGGAGAAAAATATCAAGAGGCGGTAGTGCTTGTTTTAAGGGAGAATATTGCACCGAAGGAGCGGGAGAGGGGTGGATACCAGACAGGGTCTCCTGAGTCACGGTGGGTGCTTCCAGGGAGGGAATGCTTTGGGAATGTCTCAGGCTCTTCAGTCAGATGTCCCTGCTCTCTGCGCATCCATGTGCATCCCTGTGATGTGTGCTTGCAGGAACCTGTTGATTTGCTCCTGTTTACTTCTCTGTCCCGCTGGTGGCTTCTGGGGAGATGCAAAGGGGGAAGGAAGAGGATTTTAAAAATTGAATCGGGGTCAGGCTGGCAGAACTTGGGCATTGGGACAAGAGGAGGAAACCCCCCCCTGCCGCAGCCCCGCTTTCCTGGGTGGGGCTTGGGCAGGATGCAGTCAGGAGAGGGAGGATGGACTACACCGGATTAAGCTCCGTGCTCCATCTCAGGACTGACCTCCAAAAGTCTGACCTTCACAGGTTTGACCTTCAGTGGAATGGAAATCTGTCCTTTCTCAGCCACGGTGCCCAACACCAATATCTAACCCTGTGATACTGTGGTGAGATGGGGGAAAAAAACCCCAATTCTTCCCTAAAAGTGCATTTTCATCCCGCTGCATCAGTCCCCTCCCCTGGCAGGAGAACACTCTGGCACATTGTCCCCATCCTGGATCAGGTGTTGGGGCTGTCAGACGGGGTGGAGGGATGGATGGAGCTCCCTGAGCAGGGATTTCCATGCTGGAGGAGCTTTGGCCATCCTTCCCCAGACGCTTTCCAGCATTCTGCCGGGAAGGGAAATGCCCTGGTGTTGCTGCACAAGGTAAGGGATGGATTTTACCCCAGAGTGTGTGGGGAGCCTCCCTGGAAGGTCACTGCCTCATGTGGAATTGGCCTCGTCTACCTGCGGTGGCTTCTTAGATTTCAGCTGCAGAGCAACAGTTTTCAGGCTGATGCAGATCCAGGGGCTGCCAGATTCCAGACCCAGCTCTGCCTGTAAGGAATTGCTTCCAGAATCTTTCTGCTGGCCCCAGCTCAGCCACAAAGGGGGTGATTCTGCATCAGGCAGAAGGGGTGGATTTAGGATGCCCATAAGCTGGGGAGGGATGTTGAATTTGCTGCTGCTTCCTGCAGCATCAGTGACTGACCCCAACCTGCAGTGGTTGAGGCTGTTTCACTGTGTCACATATATCCCTCATCCTTTTTTGCTTATGGATATTGAATTTGGGATACAGGACTGTGAGGAAGACGCCTTAAAAGCAAGACCTGTCAGAAAGGCAATCAGCCTCCTGAAGCTGGGGACTGGCTTGGGGAGCAGCACCCCAATTTGGAATCATCTGCCCTCTTCCCAAAGGCTTTTCCCAAGTGCTGGCAGGCCCTGGGTAAGGAGCAGGGCTTTGTGGTGGGAAGGAATGGCTGTTCACCATTCTCCAAGAGGCAGGGAATGTTTGCTGACCCTGTCACATTATCCCTGAGCTGGGATCACAGACCCAGAGCTGAGCAGAGAACCCAGACAAGCCCCATGGTCCCAGGCAGGGTGTTGCTGGAATTGGATTTTTGGCTCTGGGAGACCCAGAAAAACGTTATAAAGAAAGGAACTGAGTGTGTTTGCAAAAGTCAAAACATGAGGGTAGGGTTCAGGATGTACCCAGATCCCTGTGAGGTGTCACACTCATGGGTTAAGGCTCCAGGGTTCCTGTTGCTGTGGCATCTCCCACAGTGTTCCCCATTATTGCTCCAGTGCTTCGATCCAGTGTCCTGACAAATAGCTGCCATGGGAAGAAAAAAAAGTCATCCTGGCTGAGAAGCCTTTCCTTTGTGCCCTGAATTTCTGTCTTGGGGTGAGGGATGCTCAGGCCTGCCAGGGAGAGGCTCAAGATCTAACACCTCATTACTTTTGAAGGGTAAAAGCTACATTTTTGCTCTGCTACAAAAAAATGGAACTAGACAGGGGAAAAGAGGATTTGATTTTCTGTCTGAGGGAGGTTCAAACCCAAGATTAAAGCGGGGTTAGCACAGCAAATTGAGGTACTCTGAACTCTGTTTTGGGGGCCTGGGGACTGTGTTGGGACCCTGAGGAGCCAGGCTTTGCAGCAGGGTATTTCCAACCCAGTCTCAGCAAAGTATTTCCAGATTCTGTCAAATTCTAGAAATTATTTTGCTATAAGATGTGTCTGAGAGTGCAGCTGCGTGGGGGAGGCCTGTGGCACTTGAGGGGCCGTGCCAGCTGTGACTGCTCCTGCTGACAGCAGGCCAGGGCTGTGCCAGGTGTGACTCAGTGCCCACCCCTGGGGAGTCAGCCGGAGCACGTGGCTGGAGACAAAATCTTCTCTCCCACAGCTGCTCGGCAGTGCCTGGCTTTTGCTGTGCACGTGGCTGTGTACAGACAGGGGGGAAGGGTGGAGCTGTGTTTGGGGTTAAACCCCCAGAAAAGAACACAGGTTGAGCCCCTGGCAGGAGCGTGGTGTGTCTGCAATGCCGCCTCCATCTCTCAGAGAATAAAATGTCTGCCACGTCCATCCCAGGAATTCTTTGGGAACAAGATGTGTGTGGCTTGCAGAGGTGATGCTCAGCTCAGAGCTTGTCATCTGCAGAGGTTGTGGTGCAGACAAAGACCACAGAGCTGTTCCTGGGCTCTTGCTGGTGGGGAGACTGAAGTGCTGTGTCACCTGTGTGGGCAGCATGGCTGGACAGCCTCTGGAGAGGATGCTGACAATGGTGTCACACCTTTGTGCAGCTGGGGTCTGCATCCCAGAGCCTTTCTCTTTGCTAATGGAGGGTAAAGCCACCTTTGCTGGGCTACAGGAACCCATCCTGTTCCCGCACCTCACCTTGGTGCCAGGTACAACTCAATCTCTGTGTGGATGCATTGCCCAGCCTGGAGAGAGGGGATGTGGCTCAGTGGCACTGGGAGTGAGAAGGGGGGTCCTGGCCACGCTGTGGGGGTGGTGGGTGCAGATTTTTGGTCACTGCTAGCACCAGCTGGAGCAGTGAGAAGCATGTTGGAGCTCAGAGCAGCTGCAGGAATTGCCGCAGCCATGGAGCAGAGGCTTGGCTGGCAGATCTCCCCCAGTGGCAGCGATTTGAGGCTGCTGCTCCTGCTAAAATACTTACAGCATCTGACACTCCACAAGAAGATTCAAAGGGCTTTTTGAGAGGGAAATGTTTAATCCAGGGATGGGGGGAGGGATGTAGGGAGTAACAAACAACAGACTGGGAAAAAGATTCATAAATATCTCATCAGAGTGAAGTGGGTCACCAGTGTTTGCTGCAACTTGGTGCTGCTGTCTCTGAGGGTTGGATTTGGGAGGGTTGGGATGCACAGCAGGCTCCTGTACAGTCTGTGCCTGGCTGTGCAGCACTGAGGCCGTTTAGAGGCATCTGACAAGTGACTCTGCTGGCGTGGGGTTTGCGTTGCGTTGTGTCACGTTTGCCGGGCGTTGCGTCAGGAGCTGAGGGCTGAAATAGCCTGGAAGGGAGCTCAAATCCTCCTTGGGGAGCTGCTCACGGCAGCTGAGAGAACACAAGCTCCTTATGTAAAGCTGCTTTAATATTTATGGTAATATCAGAGGCGGTGCATTACCTCATCCATCTTCGCTGCACTTCTTCGGCATGGGGAAAGGCTTAGTCACTACTCTGCCGTCCTTCTCCTGGGTGCTTGCTTGGCATCTCCCCACCTTTAACACATTTGTTCCCCCAGCAGCTCAGAAAAAAAGGAGAAGTGCTGGTTATCCCCATTGGAAATGGGGAGTTGGAGCACTGGGAATGTTGCTCGGTTGCAGGAGGGGACTGGACACAAATCTTTCCAGCCCGGACAGATCACTCCACATGTGGCAGAGGGGACAGGCACAGACCCCTGAGGACACTTCCCAAAGGACAGGGTGGTCCAAGCTGGATTCCTGAGGGGTTAGATGAGAAGGTGGAGGAGAGTGGGATGGTGAGAGTGCTGGGAAAGGAGCTCCAACTGCTGTGACAGAGCCACCTTTGGTGCCAGCTGCTGTTTCCTTAGGGAGAGCAAGGGTCTGTCTGTCCTGTGCACAAGGGGATCAGTGCCTTTCTTCCAGACAGACAGGCAGAAGTGACAAAGAAGGGAAGAGGAGATGAAGTGATAAGGGGGAAGATTTGAAGATAAGGAGTTTCCTGCCATCTCTGGCTCTTTCTGCACAGCATTGCTCCAGGTCAGAGGTGGTCAGTAGCTATTTGCAAGATGGATGAGCTTCCCACTGCACCCCAGACCCACACCCTGGAGCAGCTCCTTGGTCTTGCAAAGTGACTGACTTTTCCTTCCAAATGGAAGCAGGAGGGGAGGATGAGAGGATTTGGAGATGGGCTGCTCCCTGCAGGGGGAAGGGGCCATCCGGATGGAGCTGTGCTGTGGCACAGCTTAGCAATGACTCATCCGCTGCCTTCGGTGCAGGATGGATGCAGCTTTCATCTGTGCACGCAGGAGACAGATGAATAGATGTGTTTGGTGATTTGCAGGGATTTGAGGCAGGAAAGGTGCCCTTCAGGGAGCCAAGGGAAGCTGTTCCTCCGCTGGCCTGTTGCTCTGGCAGAGGGCAGCTTGTTGCGCTGGGTGAGTCCGACTGCACTGACCTTGAGAGCATCCCAGGGGAGCTGTGGCGTTTGCGTGCCAATCTTTGCAGCAGCATCAATTTGGAAGGCTTTCTTTTTCCTTTTTCTCCTTTATCATACCTGGTTTTATTACTCCAGCTCCGTCTTCCCAGCCTGAGAAAGAGCTGTTTAGCTGCTGGCAATGAGAACCTTCCTGAAAGGGCACTGATTGTTAAACAGAAATAGCATGGAGCAGGGAAAAGGGAGGCAGGGAATGAAGCCTGTCTTCCACAAAATCTTATTCCAAAGTGCTGCTGTCTGTGTAGGAGGCAGAGAGCAAGCTGGAAGGGGGAGGAATGGGTAGACAGGCAGAGACAGCAGCTGACAAGAGAGAAAAGAGGAACTAAAAGATGTGAGGAGCTATAAAGAAGAAAGCAAAGGTAGGAAAATGTGTCATTAGAGAAAAACTTGGTGTGATGGAATGAGGGAAGAGGAGGAGACAAAGGAATGGGGGAACCCTCATGTGCAGGCTTAGTTTTTGGGTATGAGGAAAGCACCTCTTTCTTCAGTCTGGGGGAGACAGAGGCGCTTAAAGATGAGCCCATGGTCATGCCCTTGGAAGTACAGGATGGAGAGGAGAGATGATTGCCAAGGTAGGGAGCTAAGAGAACACAGAAGAAGATTAAGTACTGGGATGGAAGAGGATGTGCTTCTAAGGGTACCCAGGAGCCAGAGGAGGAGGTGGAGCCAGGCCAGAAGGTCTGGAGAGGTGCTGGGTGATCCTGTGGCTACTTGCAGTGATGGAAAACCACAGACAAAAGCCCTTTTATGTGGGCACTTAAGAACTGCCAATATTGATTTTTGGCTCAGTTTGGTTTCTACAGCTTTTAAAAACCTTTTCTAAGTTGCATGATGGGTTTGTGTTGCTTTTAGTGGAAATTCACTTAGAATCAGGAAATTCTGTTTGTGGCAGTGCAGGGCATGTGTGATAGATGGGCATGGCAGCAGGACAAAGCTCCATGGCCCTGCATGGGATCCAAGCAAAACCAGCTTTCCTGCCCCCAGGAATCTGGATCAGTGGGGGGTGTGGATAAATCTTGAGGTGCCAGGGCTGTACAGCGTCCCCATTTCTCAGCAAAAAAGGTGAGTTTTCCCTCTCTGATTTGCCTCACGATCTCCACAGGCTGCACATGATTTTCCTAGGGAAAGAGCAGAAGTTTAATGCTTGGTCCATGGGCTGTAACCACACGAATATCTGAGTGTGTGAGTGGCCCAGTTAACTGATATCAAAGCGACAAAGAAGGTAAATTAATATTTATGCCACGATTAATCTGATTCTCCCTGCTTTAAGCTCTGAGCCCACTTCAGCTGTGGGCTCCATTGCTATTTCTTTGTGTCTCACGGTACCAGATTGAAAGAAGAAAAAAAAAAAAGATAAATTGGTCCTAAACCAGAGGAGCTGTGAGTGACTTTGCACAGCCTCAGCCCTGGATTTATGTAGGACTCGTGCTGACAGAGCAGTATGGATGCTCTCTGGAAGCATCCAGAAAAACAGGAAAAGGTGAGGCAGGTGATATCTACAGAAATATTACAGAATGAGCATTGAGAGGAAAATATTTCTTGCACTTGGCCAGGCCCTTGTTTCCCTCCCAAGCCCCAGTCCCCAGCGAGGTCTGAAGCTGGGTGATGTTTGCATGGTACAGGATGCCCAAGTGTCTGATACACACTCAGGAAACCGTGTGAGAGAGAGAGTTTGGGCTTTCCAAAAGGGTTTTATATCCAAAACTAAGGAATGCAAGCAGTGTCCAGCTGCAGTCAATGAGAAGTATCGGGTTTGGTGGTCACCAAGCCTAGTGCAGTGTGAGGAGCTGGACTGGAAGATGCTTGTGGGTTCTTTCCAACTTAGGATATTCTGTGAGAGCTATGGAATTCCATTATTTTGGTGCTGCAGTTCCCTTAGTCAGCTGCAGCTGACTGGCACTGGAGTAGGTGGTGGCCACCAAGCAATGGCTGGCAAGGAAGAGCAGGAGAGGGAGGTGTTTCCATCTTAGGACCGTAAGGTGTTGCTCAGCTTTGCTCTAGTTCCAAACCTGTAATTTCTGTGAGATTTCCTCCATTCCTGCCTAAATGGAGATGAAAGCCCCACCTTTGTCTGCCTCTTTTCCAGAAGAGTCAGCAGCACAGATCATTGCTGCAGTCCTGGGACTTTGTTCCTGTCATTAGAGGAGTGATCTGCCCTCTGAGCTGCTGTGGAAGGAACCTTTGCTGGCTGAGGTTTTTGAGGAGCCTCTTCAGCTCTCAATCCAGACAATGAGCTCTGATTTCACTTAGCAGGCAGAAAGCTCCCTGCAGGCTCCTGGCAGCCCTGAAGGTCAGCAGGGAGCCGGCAAAGCCGGCGGCTCGGATCTGATGCTGCCTCCCGGTTACTCTTTATTCCTCTAGCTCGGAGCTGATGTGGTGCTGAACTGCCAGAGCTGCTGGCAGAATGCCCAGTGTATTGTCCTCTCCTCCCTTCACATGGAAGTGCAGCCACAGGAGCTCCATCCTCAGCTCACCCTGCCCTGCCATGTTTGTGGGGTGAGGTTGTTGTGGTAGTTTTACATCCTCTCAAAGCCCACTCTGTCCCTTTGCTGAATTCCCAAAGCTGTTCATTGCTCCCACCAGTTCCCTGGGGAAGACAGGGACCAGCTGACCACCAGCATCCTGTTTGGCTCCATGGGCAAGTCCAGCAAACCCTGAAGGGAGAAGGCAGGAGTGAGATGTCTCTGACACAAGAGACATCCAGCTCTACAGAAAATCCATGCAGTCAATTCTCAGCTGAGGATCTGGCGCTTTGTTTTGCTGTTGCTCCACCAAAATGCTGGCAGGAATAATCCTTTTATCCCTGATAACCTGTGAGAACTGAGGAACTAATCCTGGTTTTCCTGCAGTACCCATCTGGAGGGAGAGTCTCACACAAGATCACATATTAACCACTCCCTAAATCGACCTTGGGATAGTGCTGTGAAAGGAAGGGTGGAAGGTGAGACAGGCAGGAAGGATCTATCCATCTGCTTCCCCATGGAACAAAATGTTTTCTCCTTACCTAGAAGGAATTGAAAGGGTGAGCAAAGGCAAAGAAAGGTTTGTTTGGTTGGATGGTTGGATGTGAGTTTGTCATTGCTGACAAATGGCCTCACACACAGAGCCAGGATGGACTGTGGATGCCCACATGTGGCAGCTGTAGATGACAGTCAGTCCAACTCGTTTGATGTTCCTGTTTGATATTAAGAAAAAATCCTTCCCTGTGAGGGTGCTGAGGCCCTGGCAAACACTGACCAGAGAAGCTGTGGCTGCCCCATCTTTGGAAGTGTCTGAGGCCAGGCTGGACAGGGCTTGGAGCTCTCTGATCCAGTGGAAGGTGTCCCCGCCCATGGCATGACCCAGGTGAGCTTTAAGGTCCATTCCAAACCAGGCCATTCTCTGGTTCTGTTATTGTTACAGGCACAGAGTGTGTAGAAAATGCTTTGAATGGAGTTCACAGTTCTGAAAGAAAGAGCCAACAGTTTTCCAGTCTTCCTTTCTGTCCTCCTCCATCACCTCCAGGCAGAGCAACACTGGCTTGCTCTGCCCCATCACTCACCTCTCCTTGCTGTGCTTTCCCCTCCAGGTGCTGTACCATGTCCAGGTAGGACACCGCCTGCGGAAAAAGCATCCCAAAAAAACCGCTCCCAGGCCTTGAGCTCGGGTGGCTTCTCTGCTTCCTGGAGCAACCGGGCAAGGGAGAAGAGCAGGGATAGCCGCCCGTATCTAGCCACTGCCTACAGCACCCCTAGGATGGATTCCAAAGGCAACGTCCGAAGCGGAAACAAACCCGACGCCAAGGCCGCCAGCTCCGGGAAGCCGGAAAAACCCAACCCTGGGCCTGCCACCAATGCAGACAAGAAGGAAGCCCCCAAAGAGCAGCCAGCTCCTGCCACGGCCACCAAGAAGGCAGGCGGTGACGCCGCCATCGCCAACAACCACAGCAACCTGAAACCCAGCCCTGCCGCCACGGAGACGCAGGAGGCCAGTGGCCAGTCCCCTGACTCTGACCACAAGGGAAACAGCTCCGAGGAGTCATCGGGCAGCTTCTTCGACAACATGAAGCCCTTGATCATCGTCGGAGGAGTGGCGGTGGCTGCGCTGGCTGTGGTTCTGGGAGCGGCACTCCTAGCCCGAAAAAAATGAAGACGGAGACGGGGTGGGGATAAGAAACCCAGCCCAGCTGTACAGCTCCTTTTGAGACAAATGCATGCAGAGAAATTCTATACATAGCTATATATATAGAGAGCGAGCTAGATAGGTCAACAAGAAACACCAACTGCAACTCCAGGGTCTTGTTCAAGACAACTGTGCCATTCTGACCCGCTGTGGGTAACTCCATGCACTCAGTGTGTTCTTTCATGTAATATATCTTGGCTTATACTGCTGTGTATAGATTACAGCTTCTCCTGATTGGTGTAAATGACGGTGTCCCCTCCCCTCCCCTGCTGTCCTCCCTGGGAGACACCCCCGCCCCGCTCTTGCAGTCCCGTTTTCAAGTCCAAAGTGTTCTACGTCCCATTCGGAGTCCCAATTTGTGTTTTTGGTTTCTGTTTGGTTCTGTTTTAACTTGGGCTGTGGTAAAGAAGATGGAAGGGGAGTGCTAAGGGCCGGCTCGCCTGTTGCACTGGGGCTGGGGGTGTTTTTCCAGCCTCCCCCTGGGAAAAGGGAAGTACAGGGGCAGCAGCAGGGAAGAGGCAGCTCCCTGACCCGACAGCCACGGGCGATCCCTAATCGGTGTTTGTGTATCCGCCGCGCATCATCCCACCTTGGAACACCCGCCTGGGAAGTGCTCCGGAGGAACCAGGGTGGCTCCAGGGAACCAGGTGGAGACTGCATCATGGCAGAGCCAAGTGTGAGCCTGGCATGTCACATCAGGTCACTCTTCTGGCTGAGCTGCCTGCGGGACAGTGACCAGAGGGGCTGTGCTGTGGCCCGGAGAAGTCCCATTGCAGCCTTCAGGAACCCAGGGCTCGCCAGGGTCACGTGGGCAGTGTTTGGGATAGAGAGACTTTGTTTTGGATCTAGTATTTCCTAAAGTTATGCTGGGCTTGGCAGGGTGCTGTGGCCTCAGTCCAAGCTCCCTTGAGGTTGGCTGGACTATTTGTGTTCATTTTTTTGGGCTTTGGATAAGGCCTTTCACTGGATTTTTGCCCCCACTGAAGGCTGTGGTCTCTCAGCACATGGGAAGACAGGAAAAGGGGGAGACATGAGCTGGTGTTAGGGGCAGAGAGGACCTGGGACCCCATGAGAGTAACACTGACCTACCTGCTTAATACCAGGGAAACCCCTTTCAAGAGCACTGGAGTCTGTCCTGGGTGGATTTCTTAACCTCCCTCTTGTGACAGTAGTAGCAGGGATTTGTAATTCGTGCACACTTTGGAAATGGAAACAAATTCCCAGCCCTCAGGAGCAGCCTGATTTCATGGGTGAGTACACTGGCTCTAAAGCCAGACCTTTTGAGGGGGAGGAGATAAGAGTGTTTAGTGCTTTGGCTGATGCTCAGCACTAAACAGCAGGAGGTGAGGAGATCTACCTCTGAAAGCTTCCATTAGGCTTCTCCTGGCTGCTGCAAAACAGGGTGTTATAAAAACCTCTCACATTTTGGGTGTAAGTTGGATCAGAGATTAAATGAGGTCCAATGGGAGCTTGGCAGTGGCCACAGTCCATGGGCAGGGGCAGGAGTGATGGTTAGAAAGAGGCTGTGACACAGTGGGGTGAGCTGTGTTACAGAGCCCGTCGTGCACCTTTAACTGAGATGGATGGATGGATGGATGGATGGATGGATGGATGGATGGATGGATGGATGAATTCAGGGGCTGCAGGGGTAGAGGGAGGTGTGCATTCCTCAGGTGCTGCCTATGCAGTGTCTGCCTCTGGCACAGTCCCTGCAGTTCTTCTCTTGGCTGATGTCTGGCTTATTTACCTCCAAATCTGACCTGCTGAATGCACATGGTCTTGGAATGCATGGCTACTCCTATGGTGAGCTCAGAAGATGTTCCCAAAGGTGCATGGCCTCTGGGAATACCAGACACGGTGTCCTGGTGCGGCTGGAGGTTGATGCCTTCACCTTTGCCAGCACAGAGACAGGAGCAGGTGTGTTGGGCTCACAGGAGTTGTGGGAAGCAGGGCTACAGCTCCAGGTGAGATCCTGATAGCCTAAAGCACTTTTGGGATGAGCTGTGGATGTGTCTCCCAGCAGCAGTGTGTCACAGCCTGGGGAAGGGTTAGAAGCAGAAGGGTTCTCCTCTCCCCTCAGATTTCTGCAGCACAAATTTGCAGGGCAATTTTCACAGGGAGTTTTGCTTATGTTGTTCAGAAGGAAGGGAAATGACCCCCTCCTGCTCTGGTTCATGTGTTGCCAAGTAGGGTAGTGATTTTCATACAGTGACTTCTGTTTTCAATAGATATTTCTACCTTTCCTGTCCCCTCCCTCCCTGTCAGCTCTGGCCCAGGATTGTTTTTAGCAGTGTGTGACATTAGGCACAGCATCTATCTATTCTGCCAGCATAGATAGATCGGGGGGAGGAAGGTGAAGCACCTGCTTCACTTCAGTCTCCAGTTTCATTTTCTAAAATGTTTTTATTTCCTTGTCTTCACCTTTGGCAACAGAAGAGGGGGGAAAACAGTTCTCAGCCAATGGCCTTAACCTTTTTTCCATCTCCCAACCCTGCCTGCCCTTAGAGCACTCAGATTCAAGGCCACCAATTTCATCCAGAAACACCACAGAGGTGGTGATGGGGCTGCAGCTCCTCATTGGGGCACATCACTCATTTGAGCCCTCCCTGCACAGCAAACCTGATATGTCCTGCTCATAAGGGATTTTTGAGCGTGGTCTGTCCTGTTCCCAAGGGATTTTCCACTTCCTGTGATCACTTAACATTCTGCTGTCCAGGTTCTGCACCTGGAACCCACCTCTTTGGCAGTTTGGTTTGAAAACATCTGTCTGTGCCTGTGTGTGTGCGCCTTGAAGCACACCCTGCGTGTACAAACCTTTGTGTTGTATTGCTGCAGTCTGGGGAAGGGAGAGACTCCAAGCTGGAGATGCCCCTTCCTTCGCTCCCTGCATTCACTCCAAGTGTCCGTGATGTCTTTCCTGTGCCATTCCCACCACGCCATGCAGCTCCTGAATTCCTTTCCAGTCCTGGTTTCTCCTCAGCGCAAGGAATGTCTGGCTGGTGAAGCGCTGAGTGTGTGGTGTGCTCGGAGCCCCAAGCCTCTGCTCCTGCCTGGGTAGTCGTGTGGGCTCTTTGCTTTAAAATGAGGCACTTTTAGACTATCTTGGGCTGTGCTGTAGAGCTTTTCCAAGCGTGGGTCTAGTGCTGAGCCGGGCAGATCCAGCCTAGATGGCACAGCACGCCGCAGCCCTGACTTGCAAACGCCTCCTGTCCTGCCTTACTGTGCCAGGCTGTGCAGTGCTTTTGTTCTGAGCCAAAAATGTCCAGCGAGCACCGGGCTGAGGGAGCAAATCCCTCTCTCTCAGCCCCAAATCTGTCTTAGCAGAAGGCTTAAATGACTGAGCTCGCTGTGCTAAATAAATAGTTGTCTTTTCTCGTACTGAGCACACGCCGATTTTTGCTTGATGTCCTTCTTTGTGTGGTTTTTGTGGTATGAAGTCCTTCCAGTGACATCTCCGTGGGGAGAGTGAATTAACACTTAAAACTAATCAGAGTCTGTGCTTGGGGTTTGAAGAGATCTAGATTGCTAGTTTACTCTTTTGATCAAGTCGATAAATTAAATATTGGCAAAACTGGTTTCAGACCTTTCAGCTTATCACCAAAACTCTCGATTGAATCACTGCACTCGATCTCAATCTCTTTTTAGGGAATCATAAATTTTAGTTGAATATAAAGATGTCATTTTACTGTCTTGGACAAGTCAGTAGAAGGTTTTTGCTGCTTCTATTTTAAGAGAGATGAAATGGATTATGCTTCTGCTTCCTCTTCCTACTGATTTAATACCCTGTAGATAAGTCCTGTTATTCCTAACAGTGCTGCAGCAGGATGAAAACAAATCTGGCAGCCAGGGGATAATGCAGCAGCATTTTTGGGAGGGTAAGAACGAATTCTTGCAAGTGCTGTTTGCCTGAGGCTCACTTAAAGCACTTGCCTTGAAGCATTTCTTAGTTCCCTCGGGCTGGGTGATAAATTAAACATCCATTTGTCTCTGATGGACTAAAGTTTGAAGGTTGATCCATAGAATACTGAAAACAAGGGGGATTTTCCCATTGGCTTCACCATGCTCTGGCCTTTGAGGTCTTGTTGGCACCAGGGATATGATCACAGGTCATCATAAAATCATCTCAATTACACATTTATTTTAAAATTGACACGTTTCTTAGGCTGAGCATAAGGGAAGTGTCTTCTCTTAGGCAGCCCTGCTTATTCTGGCATCAGGATTTGTGTATGAACAACAGCAGTGCAAACAAAAACCCCTGGAGCTGGTGAGAGATGATTTATGCCTTAAAATATTCCCTACTTTTCCTGGAAATGCTAGTGGGGTTTAGAATTCAGCAGCCTTCTAACTATTCTTAGAATTGCTTGAAAATAACAGTGCTGAAGATTGGAGAGGACAATGATTCTTCGAGAAATAAACCAAAAAAAGGAAGGCAATGAAAAAATACGTTTGAAAGGTGAAATTCTTGGAATTTCAATCAGCTCCATGGAAAGCTTCAAGTCAGTGAAGATTCTGAGAGGGTGCAAAGAACAGAGCAGAGAAATGGGGAGAAAAAGCACTATTTAATTATCTTAATAGCTTTGGTAAGGACGTGCTGACTTTTATATCCTCTTCCCCCCCTTTTTTTTTCCTCAGAAAAAGGCAAAAATTATGAGCTCTGGTGCCACGCAAATTAACCTCTGCTAATTGCCTTTTCCAGATGAATTCCTGCTGGCTCTGTGCAAGGTTAAAAGGTTAGAAAAATACCTGAAGTTTCCTACAACCAACTTTGCATTATTAAGGGGAATTTCCAGGACATTAGGAAGGGCTGTGTTCTCTTTTCACGTGCTTTGCTATGCCAAGGACTGCAAATGCAGCCTGCTCAGACTTCCATTCTCCTGGTCCATCCTTTATGCTGGAGCAGGAATGCTGATTCCCTTCCCAGGCCTTGCTGTGGTGTCATTCCCTTCACCACAAAGCTAGGAGAGGTCTGTAGGGGCAAGAAGCAGCATCACATCACATTCATGAGCTGGGTGCAATTCTGCTGCACAGGTTGGGCACTTCCAGCCACAAAGAGGAATTGGCTTTGATCCAGAGCATAACTATTCTGTATTCCAGTAAATTCTCACTCTGGGACATTGGAACTGGGAATATTTCCTGCTATTTACACTGGAGGTATTTGGTTCTTTACTCTTTTGGGGAGAAATCTGTTGATGCTGAGGATCTGTTGGCACATTTTGGATCTTAGGAGTGACACTCGACTGACAGCCTCAAAAAGCCTTGGAGCCTGTGCCCCCATCCAGCAACCCCTGGAGGGTTTAATCCACTGGATAAAGTGGGCTTATGATGACTTTTCCCTCTTCTTTCTGAGACCATCAGTCCAGCCTTGTAACCTGCTTTCCTTTTAAATTCCCTGATTCCTGGAATATCTGTTCACACCAGATCTTCAGCTGCTACAAACTACAGGGTTCCTTTGGTTTCTGATCTGATTCATTGCTTGTTCTTGCCTCCTTCTTTGGCCACTGCTCTGTATTCTTCCCTTTCCTTTCCCTACTTTATTCCCAGGCAGCTCTGCAGATGTGGCCTCTCCAAAGCCCAAGGCTGGGGAAGATTTTGGGTTGGCTAATGCAGGTTTTGAGTGGTCCCCCAAAAATACAGGCAGTGCTGGGCCCCCAGACTGTGTGTCACAGCAGAGAATGTGTGAAGCTTTGGTCTGCTCTCACCTTTGAGGATCTAAGTCTGCCAGAGGCTGAGTGCTCGTCTGCCACAGGATTTGTAATGGATGACAAATCCCCAGGAAGGTCCTGTTCTTGTCCTTCCCTGTCAGTCAGGTGTGAGTTGTTCTGGCTGCCTCAGAGGGCCTGAGATGGTGTGAGCACACACACCGCGCTTGGCTGCAGCCAGAGCTCCCTCAGCCCTCTGGAGCACCAAAAACAGAGGGAAAAGAGAAGTTTTGAAGTTGAGGATATGTACTTCTGCTGGCCTGGAAGGATCAGCTATTGTGCCAGGGATGAGGGTGCAGGAAGTGCAGTCTCATCTGAATGAGCTGATCAGGTGTCACTGGGTGACAGAGAACTGTGGGACTTCCAGGCCTCTAAAATTCACTTTTCATTCAATTTGCTATAGTAGGCCTCAAAATCCTGTGAGAGATCAGAGCCTTTGGCTTCCCAAATTCATGAGTCTGGATCTACCTTGTGCTGTAGTTCTGCTCCCTCCTCTGGACAGTGTGTGCTCGGATATGCAGTACTCTGGGACTCATGCCCTCTGCTCTTTGATGCTCTTCAAATTAAATAGACTTTTTCTGCTGAAAAGCATAACTTGGGTTAAATAGGCTTTGGACTGGCTGTTCCTGTTTCTCTGCTGGTTGTTCTCAAACAGTTCCATGAGTTTCCCATTTCTCAGCCCCAGTGCAGCATCCCAAGCATGAAAGTACAGGTTCTTTCTGTCTGTATGATGATGCTGCAGCACCAAAGCTCCCACCAGGACAAGAGGAATCTTTAATCACCTTTCCAACAGACAAGTCCTGCACCGTATCCCTGGTTTTGCCACAGCCACTTCAAGCAGCCAAACTTCTGGGGCAAGCTGATGAGAACAAGGGTGCCACACAATTTTGTTTGGTTAAAAACCAACCAACCAGGGAATAATTTGGCTTTACTGAGTTTTGAGCAGCCCTTCATAAGCCTGGTGCCTTTTCCCAGGACTATTTCAACTGAAGCCTTTTAAAAGTTGCAGTTCCACCTCCCCTGGAAAGCAACTCTTTTCCAGTGGTAGGTGCTAAAAGGTTGTGGAGGAACTAAAATTACAGGAAGGGAACTCGAAGGTCATATTACAGGGAATTTTTATTTTGGTTTTGGTTTGTTTGGATTCTGTTACTTCTCCAGGGACTGATCCAAAGCCCTTGGAAGTCAGACTGAAATGCCTGCTGTTCCTTTGGAAGCCTCAGGCACCTTTCCAATGATGTCGGTGGGTTTTGAGTCAGCTCCTGAGTGTGTTTTCCAAATGATAGGAATTTTCCAAGTGACACCTTGATTTCTTCCCTGTACAACCAGACCTGCTTGTCACTTACACATCTTTACCTGTGTTCAACATACAGGTTTGGGGTTTTTTCTTTTGCTCTCAGAAACAATATGCTGCTAGACACATTTCCTGGAGGGAAATGGACACCTACCTACACACAAAGCTATCCAGCTAATTTATACCTTGTTGAATTTATAATCTTGTCTATGCTTCTATGGACACTTTGTATGGGCTGCAGCTCAAATCCTAAAATAGTCAAGAATTTTTTCCTTTCCCATATAGTATTCTATTTACTTTGACTTTGAAAACAAAAAAAGCGTATAAATGCAATAATGCAGGTAGACTAGAAATACTAGATTGAAAATTTAAAGTAGTTTAGCTTGTCCCATTGTGACTGACAGTGTTGTATGACACCCAACGCTGTACCCTGACATTTTCCAGGCTTTCTCCGTAGCTGAATCTAGTATTAGCTTTGGAAACCCATTGTGTGAGTGGTGGGTGGATGGGTCGGAATCGTGTGCTCTCTACACACTGTATGTTACTCACATCACAAGCTGTATGGCCACTCCATATGCTGTGAAACTGTAAATGATTCCCAAATACACCTGTAACTCTTACCAGGATTGTGAGAAATAAACTATATATAGAGATATATACACACACATAGAGAGATTGTATAATTCCTCCCGTGAGCATCTTCGTGTACTTGGGGGTGTGAGTGGAACCTGCTGTGCTCCCTCTGGAGTTTGTCCAGAGAAAGCTGTGGCTGCCCCATTCCTGAACATGTCCAAGGCCAAGATGGATGGGGCTTGGAGCATGCTGGGATAGTGGAAGGTGTCCCTGCCCATGGCAGGGGGTCGAAAGAGGTGAGCTTTAAGCCCCCTTCCAACCCAAACCATTCTACAGTTCCTGGATTCTATGTCTGTTTCCTGAAGACTGTGTTTTCTGTGATTAGTGATCCCACTGAGAACTGTGAGAAAAGGCAGTTCCTGCCCCAGATAAACTCCAGCCTGCCCAGAGAAAGCAGGCAGAAGATGATTATTGTTATTCCCAGATAGGCAGTAAATTGAATCATCGATTTACCCAGAGACGCAGGGGAAACATTTCCGATCCAAGAGATTCCCCATCCCGCCGGCCGATCTCCAGCCTTCACCCCCAGTTCTTTGCTGGGACCTTTCTCCTGCCAAATTTCTCCTGCTGATTTTCTGGTTTTGTTTCTAAGATGGCCTGAGAACACCTCCCAGACAAACCATCCTCTGAGCACTGGGTAAGGTCTGTGGGGTCCCTGTGCATGGATTCCCTCCAGGCTCTCGGAGGGGAGGAGGGTTTTGGCAGCACATGTCACCGCACAGGGTTGATGTTGTATTACACCAGCTCCAATCAGGGTCCTGACAGAAGCCTGCAGGCTTTTAGAAATTAATTTCTTAAGAACTGGGAAGAAAAATCCTGTAAATTCCACAAGGTCAGGAAAAAGGGCATCCTTCAGCTGCAAAAGTGTAATCATCTGAGGGTTTTGCTGCAGAAGCACAGCTGGAGACTCGAATTTCAGTTTGTCTTGACAGGAGCAGGAGATTAAATAAATTCTTATTTTCTAAGTGGGAATGCTGGAGCTGAGAGCCTGGGATGGATGGGGGCCTGACAGTGCCCCAGTCAGGGTGTGTTGAATTGCACATGACTGGGGCAGTGTAGGGAGGATGGGAGGAGCTGATGGGGCAGGGGTTGGGACAGCACTGTCCTTTGTGGTTTTTTTTAAAAAGCACTGGAGTCACAAGCAGAGAATAAGGACCATAAATGTGATGCTCTGTGATATAAAGGCTTAGGCTGCTGGAGTGGCACTAAGTCCCAAAGTACTCCACGCAACAGTGATACTGAATAGTGAATGAGATGCTTTTTTAACTTTTTTAAAAATAATTTTCTGGTGTCCAAGCTGGAGCAGTGAGGAACATCCAGATTAACCAGCCTATGGATTCAGAACACAGTTCTGCAGAGAAAAGGAGACCAACAGATGATTGAAGAGATGGAAAAGGTGGCGTAAGCTACATTTCCTTTAGGAAAGCAGGCTAGGAATAAAGCCCTTTCAAATAAACAAATAAAGCCAATAGCAGAATTATTGCTGTCTTTATTTTATATCTTTCATCTTATAACGGCATTGTGTCTCTAACACACCAGCAGCCAGCAAGGGACAAACCTATTAAATTCACACAGGGATGACAGATGCAAACCCAGAAATGGAACACTGAGGTTTACAAAAGTGGGGAAATAAGGGACCGGTGACCACTGCCAATGGGACGTGGCACTCCGGGATTCTCGGGACACCCGAGGGTTTTTAAAGGGCTCGGCGGCGGCAGCGCCCCCTCAGCGTTTCCCGCGCTTTTCCGCCGCCCTCAGGATTTCGGGCGCTTTCCCCCGCCCCTCCTCGCTCCCCGCACTGCGCACGCGCGGCCCCGTGAGCCGCCGCCGCTCCCCGCAGGCCCCGGCCCGGCCCCGCCATGTCGGACCGGCTGGCCAAGCCCTCCTG